TCACAGAGTCGGCAGCCGACACGGGTGCGTCATTCGAACCGCCCGTGCTGCAGCCCATCTCGAGGCTCAGTGCCATGTTGCCCAGGTCGGAAAGCCAGGCGCTGAGTGTCTATGTGGAACGCTGGTCCGCTTCGACGTTGACCTCGCGGACCGATGACGTGATCATCTCCTTCACGCCCACTTCGGAAGATAACAGACGAGCAGGTGAAGCCGTGACGAGGTGGAACGTTCAGGACGAGAACCACAACGAGCCCCAGCTCATCGCTCAATCAAGCTCGCTGGTCCGACTCGAGACCGAGGCGGGGGCTTCGGGCCAGTGGCCGGGACACCAACAGCTCCAACCGCGGGCGTATCGCGAGTCTGATACGCTGTCTGAGGTGGACGCCTACCACGGGGACCATCTCGTCTCCCAGCGAGGCCCGCACGCTCTCCTTCGCATGTCCTCGTCGGAGCTGCGTGCCCACTATGCCTCGCTCCGCCGCTCGGAGCGGACGTCAGACCTGGCACACCACATGCTCCTCAACCAGGAGAGGCTGGAGCTCGACATACGGCGCCAGGAACGCAATCAAATGTTTTTCATCGGCAGGCTCGAACGCGCGCTGGACGATCTCGGTACCCGGATGCCGTCGAGGGTCTCCGGTCTTGTCGGCACGTCGTCTGCTTGGAGTGAAGGCGAGGTGGAACAGGAGGCACGAGCCTTAATGGGTGAGCGCACCACGCCCAGAAGGGCAAGAATGAGGAGGACTTCGAAGCCGGTCGACGAGGGCGTGACCGCAGTCGAGTGCGAGCGTGGTAGACGCCGCGGCGGAGAGACGAGACCCCGGACGGCAGTGAACACGAGCGGTAGCCAGCAACAGCGCAGCGCGGCCGCGACCAACACTGGTGGTCTCGATGCCATGGAGCCGCTGATGCGCGAGCTGCACGGCGCGGCCCGCGTCAGCCTCGAGCAATCGGACCGTGGCCGGTCGCGGACGCTGGAGTCTTCGACGACAACAACAGAGGAGAGGGCTCTTAATGCGTACCTCAACATGTTTTGACCAATTTACTTGAGAAGGATATGACGGAGAGACTGATTGTGGGCTGGATACTACCACGCGAAAGGATACCCCCCAGACGGCACACCTTTGACTAAGAAAGGTTTTTCTTTTTCTCTCTTCTTTTTTATGCATGGAGAGCTGGAGCAGACGAGGATGAGATGAGCGACGGTCTACAGAATATGATATGATGGGAAGCATGACAACACAGGCTGGGTGGATCGCATGGGGCTTCAAGTGAGCATGCCATGTTTTTTTTTCATGTTTCTTTCTCTTCTTCTTTTGTTTCCTCCGATACTCATGGGCGGCAAGGCGACTGCAATGATTTGGAAGGCGGCGTCCTGATGAGGCGAATGGGCGGATATACCCGAAAACTCCCTGCTTCTGCGCACGCGGCGCGGTGGCCATTTCTGTACATGTAGGAAGACAACATAAGTCTCAAAGCAACATGGCCGGACTCGGCTCTACAACGCGTTCCGTGAGCATGCAAAGGTAGTAGTGAGCTTGGCGCCGGGGACTTGTCCTCCTTCTAGCGATCGCCAAGACCGTGATATGTCTGGGTCTGGGGGCCGGAGCATGTCTCCAGGATCGTCCATCGTTGGTCTTTGGCATTGCGTTTTGACGTGTCAGACGAAAGGATCGATCTCGCTACCCCTGGCGTAGTATCCCGAGATCTCTAGCTCTGGGATGGTTTCCGATCAGAACGGGCGAGGCGGCTGGTACGAAAGCAGCTAGAGCGCGCGCAGGGGGACCGGGGAACGTCATGACGTCGATCCCGGCACGCACTCCACAATAGTCATGATGTCGTCGACTGTCGACATGGCAAAGTCCATTACGATGTATGAGGTGGATTTGTTCAGTTGACTGCCAATGCAAGGCTAGGCGGGAGGCGTCGATTGAATTATAGGTAGCTGCAGCTTGCTGGTTGTTGATCTGGGCGTGTGGTTGGAAGCATCCCAAGCTGTCTCACATCACCAGCATCACCAACTCACCAACATCACCAGCATCACCAGCATCGTCCAGACATTGCACCACCCGCACCAAAGCAATGTCGCGCCCCTGGATCTTCATCTCGCCGTCGTCCCGCGGCGTCGGCGCTGCCCTGACGGCACACCTCCTGCGCACGACGCGGCTGCCGATCCTCGCCACAACGCGCTCGTCGCCGTCCGAGGCGCGCGACCGGTTCCTCGCGTCGGCCCCCAAGGACGCCGCCGACCGGCTGCACGTCGTGGCCCTCGACGTGACCAAGGAGGACACGATGGCGGCGGCGGCCGAGCGCGCGGCGGCCCTCTTCCCGCGCAAGACGCACCACCTGCACCTCGCCCTCGCCATCCCCGGCATCCTGCACCCGGAGAAGAACCCGGCGCAGGTCGACTACGCCAAGGCGCTCGCGACGTACCAGGTCAACACGCTCGGCCCGCTCATGCTGATGAAGCACTTTCACGCGTTCCTGCCGCGCAACACGACCAAGCTCGCGGCCCCCGGCGAGGAGGGGGAGGAGGAGGAGGGCGCCAACAACGACGGCGACGCGCAGAGCAGAGTGACGCTGCCGCGGCACGCGACGTGGCTGAGCATGTCGGCGCGCGTCGGCAGCATCACGGACAACCGCGCGGGCGGGTGGTACTCGTACCGGTCGAGCAAGACGGGCGTGTCGAGCCTCGTCAAGAGCTTTGACAACTACCTCAAGACGCGCAGCGGCGACAATGCCGTGGCCGTCGCCTTCCACCCGGGCACCGTCAAGACGGACCTCAGCCGCGACTTTTGGGACAGCGTGCCCGAGGGCCGGCTGCTGGAGCCTGACTATGCGGCCGAGCGCCTCGTCGATGTCGTCAGCACGGGCATCGGCCTCGAGGGCAGGGGCAAGCTGTGGGACTGGCAGGGTGAGGAGATCAAGCCATAGACGAGGCGTGGGTAGGTAGCAGGGTGGGCATGTGTTGATACTATCGAGATACCTTCCAAGCAGACACGTTTGAGTTTTGATAAAGACGGCACCGGAACCAAAGTGAATTCATCAAGTACTGCGCCATGTGGAGCGCCCACGCCCGTGACAATAACGCGCATCTAGGTTCTAGCAACACACTTCTCGACCCCCCCCCCCTGCCAGACGGGCTCCCGAGCATTACAGCTCCACGTTCTGGAACGACGCTCTGCTCGACGACACGGGCTGGTCGGGCGTGTCCTCGTCGCCCCGGCCGTCCTCGCTCGCCGCCACCGACAGTGAGCCCTGGCTGGGCCCGCCAGGTCGCAACGCCAGGTTCTGCTCGCTCTTGTCCTCGAGGCGCACCTTTTGCTCATCCTGCTCGGCGGCGCGCGTCTTGGGCTCCGCGTCGGCGGCTCCCTCTGTCGGACTGCTCTTGCTATCCTTCCCCTCGTCTTCGCCCTCCTCGTCCTCGTCCTCATCCTCGTCCTCGTCGCCGCTGACCGAACCGCTCGTAGGGGCAGGCGCCGCAGAGTATCCTGCAGGGGGACCGTCGTCGGCCGCACCGGCTTCTGGTGCTGCCGCTGCCGCTGCTGGAGGTGCCTGCTGCTGCTGCTGCTGCTGCTGCTGCTGCTGCTGGGCTGGCGGCGCGGGCAGGTCCTTCTGGGAGGGCTCCTCGACGCCTGGGGTCGGGGGCCCCGGCCGCATGGCGTCGAGGTAGAACTTTGTGACGCCGAGGATGCGGCCGTTCTTCTCGCAGGCGTCGACCCACTCGGGGCGGACGACGGGTATGTTCGTGTCGACGGCCTTCTCCCAGGCGGGCCCGCGGCCCTCGGTGGTGACAAAATGGGTCGTGTCGATGCGGACGCCGTCGACCAGCTTGGCGCCGATGCGATCGACGGCGGCGGCGAGGGCGTCGCGCGTCTGCTGCGGCATGACGCCCGGCGTGATGGTGATGCCGCTGAGGTCGGTGAGCTTGTGGGTGCGGACGTGGACCTTGTCCGAGGCGAAGGTGCCGGCGGTGGTGCGCAGCACGAGGTGGAAGGTGTAGTCCGTGTCGACGGCGAGGCCGCTGATCTTGGTGCTGTGCATGTGCAGGGGCCGCGGGATGCTGCCGGCCTTCTGGCCGTTGCGGAAGAGGGACAGCGACAGCAGGTCGGCCGTCGCCAGCTCGACGGGGTCCCACTCGAGCACGACGCTCGTCTGGGTGGCGTTGCGGCAGCGCAGGACCGGCACGGCGGGCTCGCTGGCGCCAAAGGCGTCGTAGATGCGCTCCTGGAGGTCGCGGAAGGCGTGCTCGGCGGCGGATTCCGATGCGTTGTTGCGACCGACGGTGATGTCGACAATGCTGCCGGAGGAGATGTTCGGGGGCAGCAGAATGGAGGGGAACTCGATCTGGGTTGTGCCGTCAGTTGGCGGGGACAACTATACGTTGATGTCATGGGTGTGCAGTCAAACATACGAGGCGCTTATCTGGCGTCAGGAGCACCGTGACGCCGGCGTCGACCTTGCCGACCGTCAATGAGACGAGCATCGTGTGTGTGGATGTGGATTGTGGTGCTGCAGTATGGGATGGATGGCGAGGGTCGCGGATGATGTCGAGTGGCAGTCGGTGGATGATTCGATGGAAAGACAACGTGGGCGAGGCTGGATGGAGAGACAGCACGGGCGAGGCTGGCTGCCTTGTCGTGGTGTTGAACGTCAAACCTGCACGGCGCTCTTCATTGGCTGAAGCTGGAGCTCAGCAGGAGCTTGATGGTAGGGGCTGAAGGTACGTACCGCTGACCGTCCCCAATCTTGACAAGTACAGAGCCTCAAACAGGGCCATGCACAACGAAACAGTCTGTAGGCAGTATGAAATAAATCAAGACATGTTCATATTGCTATCCTCCTTGGAAATGAACTTAGCAGAGCTGAGGAGGAAAAGCAGAGCTGAGGAGAACCTTCCCAAACGCCGGTGCCATGCTATGCCCCATCTACCATTGTCCAGCTATCCTACAGTCCCCAGACCTCGACCTCCATCAGAGAGGTCATGATGCACCCCTCCCTCAAAAAAAGTCGTCCTTCGTCAGGCTGGGCCCCAGATCCCCAAACTCGGCATCCAGATCTTCGTTCCTCGACCCGCGACTCGCCCTCTCGACCTTGCGCCCCGTCTTCTTGGGCTGTCTCGACAGCCCAACCGGCTTGCCCGCCTCCTCGTGCCTCTCCAGAAGGCCGCCGACGAGCCGGTCCGCCATCTGCCGCAGCTTCTCAAACGGCGTTCCGATGAGCTCCTGTGGCTTCCTGATCGTCATCCAGACCGTCCCCGTCAGAACAGGCACCTTTGCCTCGCGGCGCAGCCTCTCGAGCTGCTGCTGCGGCGTGACACCACCACCCCTGCTCCCCTGGTCCGTTTCCGTATTCTCTTGGCCGCCACCGCCGAACCGAGCCGCGCGGTTGGCCGCCCACGCCCCCTCGACGGCCTCCTTCGGCCAGCCGTACTTGTGCACGCCGCGCGCCGCGAGCGCCAGCCGCAGCGCCAGCCGCATCCGCCTCTTGGCCAGCGACACGACGACCGGCGAGCACCCGGCCTGCAGGACGATCCAGTCGATCCACAGCGGCCGCTGCGCCGCCCGCGTCCGGTAGTGCGCGAGCCGCTGCACGCTGCGCGCGTGGGCCAGCGGCGTGAGGATCGCCCGGTCGTTGGCCTTGACGACGTGCCAGCCCGGCGCGAACCGCGCCGACGCGAGCGAAGACAGCGCCGACGCATCCGCCGTCCGCGGCGTCATGCTCACCGCGGGGCGCGGCATGGCGCTCGGCGGCCGCACGTCCATGTCTTCGAGGGCCGACTGGATGTATCTGTCGATGCGGTGCTCCGGCGACGGGCGTGCCGAGCGGTAGGGCGTCGACACGAAGCTGCGGCGTGAACTTGGCGGCACCGAAAGCCGCAGTTCAAATAGGTGGTCCGGCTGTCGTGGGCATGGCCATGGCCGGCGCGCGAGCGATAGGAGCTGGTGCGAGGGGCGCGCGCCATGGCCGAGCCGCGGCAGCATGGCCTTTCGGGTGGTGCTGTGCGTCAACCCTCGTCAGGCGTGCTCTGGACAAAGAAGAGGCAGGCAACGCATCAAGGCGAGCGTGATGCTGTCGTTGCTTGATGTTGCAGGTGCCGTCGTGTAGGAACCTTGGCCGCAGCTAGAGCTTCTCCGTAAGGTTGTCTGCGCCAGCCGGCTTCTTTGGGTACGGGGCGGCTAGACAGGACGAATCCGAAGACGCAGATGCTGTGCTCTGTGTGCATCAGGATGGCTGGGCAGGGAAGAGGTTGTACCATGTATTGGTGGATCCGTTTTTCTCGTGCTGACCGTTTTGGCCTGGCATGCATGTGCTTGCTTGTACATGTACAAGTACCTAGGTTACGGTAGGTGTTGGGCAAAACGGAGGGTGCTGCCCCACCACAACCCCACTGACTCACAGAAGCATGAACCTGCACAAACCACAAAACCAAAGCACAAAACGTGCCCACTCGCCGCCGCCGCCGCCCCTCGCTCCGAATCTGCCCCTCCAGAGAAAAGCCCAAGGCGGCCTGAACCTGTCGAACTACAAATCACACCACGCCCCAGATCTCCTCCCTCGTCCTCCACCCTTCTCATCACCACATCAACCCCTCCAAACCACCCCCCCCTCCCCCCACAACCACCCAACATGCCTAAGAACAAGGGAAAGGTACGTTGTTTCGCCTGCTTTGTCTGTCTGATGCCACCGAGAGAGACCTCTTCGCGCCGCGCGGTTTCGCCGCCGTGCTCCCTCCCTAAGCGCGGGGTCCGCGACATTTGCCCCGCCCCCTCCCTGTGCCTCATCCACGCCCGACTCCACGGCAACACAAGACGACGACGACAGAACCGTGGCTGACAAAGACGACCGAAAACAGGGCGGCAAGAACCGCAGACGTGGAAAGAACGAGTCCGACCATGAGAAGCGTGAGCTCACCTTCAAGGAGGACGGTCAGGGTACGTCGTCGTGTGGCTTCCCTCTTCCTCCGCAAACCAAAGGAGAGAAAAGAGGACAAAAAAAAAACCCCTGCCTTTCGTGCATCAAGGCTGACCCTCCGCCACGACAGAGTACGCCCAGGTCGTCAAGATGCTCGGCAACGGCCGCCTCGAGGCCCTCTGCTTCGACGGCACCAAGCGCCTCGGCAACATCCGCGGCAAGCTCCGCAAGAAGGTCTGGATCAACCAGGGCGACATCATCCTGCTCTCGCTGCGCGAGTACCAGGACGACAAGGGCGACGTCATCCTCAAGTACACCGCCGACGAGGCCCGCTCCCTCAAGGCCTACGGCGAGCTGCCCGAGTCGGCCAAGATCAACGAGACGGACACGTACGGCGCCGAGGGCAACGACGACTGCAACTTTGAGTTTGACGACGACCGCGACGACTCGGACGACGACTCGGACGACACCGAGGACGGCAACAAGGGCAAGAAGGACATTGCCATTGATGACATTTAAAAGAAGGCAACCTCTGTCTCTCTTTTTCTTTTCTTCTTCTTCTTCTTCTTCTTTCATCTTCTTCTTGATCGCATGGTGTACTCGTCATCATTCTCGAGGCCCATGAGACTTGCCTGAAGCCGGCTGTCGAGGTTGGCCGACGCGCCCCTCCACTGGTCCGCCCCCTCCGTGGGGTGACCGGCGGTAGGATTACTGTCTTCTCTCTCCAATCGGGCGGCGACGGTGCGGGTGGGGAAATAACCCCCTACCCCCCCTCCGTCTCCGTCAGATCACGCGACAGTAGAGGCGCGGAGGCGTATGAACGGGACAGGTCGTGGTGGGAGGGACGTCACGGCCCGTCGGGGGATATATTCTTTCCAAGCAAAATAACGATAGAACACTTCTTCTTCTTCTACTTTGCATCTTGCGTGCTCGCTCGTGGCCCGTCGCCGTTTTTCCGGTGTCCTGTCGTATGGAAGCGGAATCAGTGACCTAGATCCGTGTCGCCTACCGTGAATCATGAGACAGACAACACCACAACAAGTCATTGTCACGGGCCAATCTTATTGGATGAACAATCTTCATTTTTATCTTCCCCCCTCGGAGGCCGTCTCACTGCAAATCGTATCCTCATTCTGTACGACTGTGACTGTGTTTGTCACCCTGCGCTCCGCCCACTCGGTTGCCTGTGTTGACAGGCGGGGCCTTCAAAGCCCGAGGTTCATTGGCGTGCATTCGTCTCAATGCTCGAATACATCCTCCACTTCGAGCCCCGTCTCCCTCTCTCGCGAGCTCACGGCGCCGTGCAACTTGGCGACACGGGCTCAATACGCCCATCTCTATCTACACAGTCAGAGTCGGCAAGACCCTGACAGGCTCTTACCAGTCATCGTTGTCGCTGCGCTCGTCATCTGCACATCTCGTCAGTCTCCTCGTTACAAATCGCAGCACAGGCAGCACAAGACAGGGGATCGACTTACCACTCCTGCTGACCTTCTCCTTCCTCTTTTGCAACGCCGCGGCCAGCGCGTCAGCCATTCCGCCTCCACCGCCTCCGCTTGACGCGCCGGCCGGCGGCAGACCGCTGCCGTGGGGACCCGTATCGCCGCCGCCGCCGCCGCCGACCTGAGCTGAACTTCGGTCGCGAATCTGCGACCTGTCGACCTTCTTGAGCGCGCCGATGCCGCCGGCTTTGTGAATGCCGTCCAGCATGGCCGAACGGCTGAGGTCGCCGCTTGGCACGGCGGCGGGCGGCACGCCCGATGCGTACCCCGAATCGCGGTTCGGCATTGGCGGTGGCGGGGGTGGACCGCCGAGCCCGCCGGGCGGAGGAGGTGGTGGCGGGGGAGGAGGACCGCCTGGGCCTCCCGGTGGTGGAGGCGGCGGGGGAGGAGGGGGAGGTGCGCCGCCTGCTGGCAGAGGAGGAGGGGGAGGTGCGCCGCCTGATGGCAGAGGAGGAGGGGCAGGTGCGCCGCTCGGCGGCAGAGGAGGAGGCGCGGGGATGCCGTTGGCGCCAGGAGGAGGGGGCACCGGCCGCGTTGTCGAAGGTGGTAGCGGGGGTGGCGGGCCAGCGCCTTTCGGGGGTAAAGGCGGGGGTGGCCCGGGCATGGAGGGCGCAGGTGCTCTTGGGGGTGGCGCCGGAGGAACCGGTCCCCGGCTGGGCGGCGCAGGAGGAGGTCCTGTGTTCCGACTAGGGGGGGGAGGCGGCACGGGGTTCCTGGCACCGGTGAATGCGGGAGGCACGCCAAACCGGTGACTTGCGGGCCTTTCTTCCTCGTGGATGGGCGTCTTGGGAGGGCGGGGCGGCGGCGGAGGTCCGGGGTTCGGGGTGTGGGCTGCCGGCGTCGCCCGTGGAGGTGGAACGTGGGCGAGCTTGCCGGCATCGGCCAGGGGCGGTGGCACGGCAAATCGAGGTC